GCCTTCTAAAATAATGGAACAACAGTCTTACCTTCGGGAAAGGACTATAAACTCCTTAAAAGAACCGTAAAGTCACTTCATTAGGTGGTTCTTGAGAAAACCAAGGACCACCGGTGACAACGTATGCCATATAATCTGAAAGTTTTTTCATATGTTCTTTCTGAAATCTCTTCAATCTATTTTCTAAACCAAAAACTTTCAAAGATCTTACAGAAAAGTCTTTTTTCACAAGTGTCAAAATATCCAATCTTATTTTAATCCCTTTTGCTCTTTCCGTTGATATTGTATTAAGAGTAATCAGGTATGACTTGATTTTGTTAATCGCAATATCATTCATTGTAAAGAATTTATTGACTATATTTAAAATTTTTTCCATCTTATCTCTTGTTAATGTGAACTAATTTGTGTCATCCACATATGCTGCTACTGCAATTTTTATATATAACGTAGTTTTTGTTCTCTTTTTAAGATTATTTATACATGTTTCCTTCATATTATAACCCAGGAACATTTTTGCAATATGGTTTATTAGTGGATCATAAAAAATACGCCACAATATATGTGACAAAATATCTCCTTGGTCTATTCTATCCTCAACCCTATATAACACTGTATTTTCATGTGTTGTGATTACTATATTCTCTTTTTCACCTAAGAAGTTTTTAATTATATTAATAAATGTAGATAGTATTTTTATTCTTTTGAGTGCACATTCTAAACAAACTGAATTAAATGAATCGAATACTTTGCTCATGTCTTGAAACATGAGCCATAATTCATTTCCCTTTGTTCTAGTGTCTTCCATTATATTATTTATAATATGAATGGGATTTTGTGTATCATCACCAGGGAGACTAGCATAGTTGTGTAGTATCAAAATTTTATTTTACTGAAAATAACTGAAAGTCTATTATTTATGATTTTCATGAAAATTTTTTTTACTGTTTTCAATAATATTATAGGATGAGTAATTTTGAGATTGTTATTTCATTCTGTTGTTTTAGGTATAAGATAGATATATCCATATTTCTATTCCCTTGGTATATTATTAAGTTCTATTACCATATTGATTATATATCTGAATGCCTCATATCTACTTTTGAGTAGATGTTTAAACTATTCATATTGTAGACCTAATTGACCAGGTGCTTTTTTGTTAAGGAGAAGTCTAATCACTTTCTCCAATTCTTTTGTTTTTACTTTGTTATATAATGAATTATACCATCTCACGTTAATTTCTTCAGAAGGTTCATACCATTTTTTCCTATTTTTTCAGTAGATATACATTTGTTTCTCTCTTTTTAGTCCGTTGACAGAAGTGGTCACGCACTTTTTCTTTTATTTTGTTACTGTCAGTGATAATTATTGTGTTACCATTTTGATTTGTATTTATTAATCGATCCATAATAATTGTTTTATGAAATTTATCTAGTATACTATTAATTATACGTTTCTTGTTATCTTTAAGATCTTCACATCATTTTTCAAATACTTTCCGTATATGTTAAGTTATCTCTTTTCTTTTTTCAGCTTTAGCAGTTACTTGGAATTTAAAATTTTGCTCATGTATTACTTCAAGGAAGTCTTCACGTGACTTATTGTCTTTAATAATTGATCAATATTAAAGTTTGTGATTAATAGTTTCCAGACTTCTTTTAAAAATACATTTTGTGACTTTATGTATTTCATAGAATATGCTCTTTCCTATTTGACCAGTTGAAATAATTTGTCACACGATTTAGCTCTCTTTATATTTTCTGATACACCTTTGTTTACTGTTTTATTGTATTTCTTAATTTCCTTTTTTGATATGACATGATTGGTAACTTCAATCATTATACTTTTGAGTATTTTTCATGATTTGTTTAGAGAATTAATTAAGTTATTATATTTTTCTTTTCTAGTTTGAAAAGTAAATTCCTCTAACTTATCTTGTATGTACTCACTGAAAACCTTCTATTTTTCTTTATCTATTAACTTCATATTATAGCATGGACCCCTATTTTCAATCACAACTTCTGTATGTTTGTTTTGTCATGCCTCTTTAATTTGTATTTTTAAAAGTTTGTGATCACTATTTGTAACTAGTTACAGATCATCTAATTTACAACATTCAATCTTGTTGTCCCATTCTTGTGACATCCATATTGCATTTATTCTACTTTGTTCAGTTGAATTATCTCTCTTTCAAGTGTATCCATTGTTTTCTGAATATACCATGCAATAACAATTGATCATGTCTTTACCAGTTAATAGTAAGAATATCTTGCTTTCTAATAAGAAGGATTGGTTATTATTATTTCTATCTACAAGTGGTGACAGGACTGTATTAAAATCTCCCATGACAATGATTTTATAATGATTTTTTTTTGTGCTTCAGTGATCTATTCACTTATTTGTAAGGTGGTTCTTTGTTATCCTTTTTTTTACTTGACAAGTAAATTTGTATTATACGAATTGCAATCTTTTTTGGTAGTAATATGTCTACACATATAATCCTTCCTTGAAATTTTTTAATATTACATACATATTTGTTGAATTCTTTTGTAACTATTAATGCTACATCTGCACTAGCTCCATTTGATAACCAATGTCCTCTAAGTTTGTCCTTTCCATCAACGAACCATTTTTCTTTGTTTTCATTACATTTAGTTTCTGATATTCCTATTATGTCTATATTATTATTTTTAATATAATTATAAAAAAGATTACGTTTAATTAAATCATTAAAACCTCTAACGTTATGTGTTGCTATGTTAAAAAAATAATTATTGTTTTCTATTGGCTTATTTTTGATTTTTATATATGTTAAATCAGAATTCGATTCATGAGAGGTTACCTCAATATGTTTTCCTTTTAAAAAAAATAAATTAATGTTATTATTTTTTTTATTATTAATATTTATAAAATTGTTATTCATAAAATTATTATTTGTGTGTTAAGGGAAACTTATTGTCTATTAATAAATAGGTTTTCACTATCTACCATATATCAAGTATTAGGTGAGCTTTCTTTAATTTTTTGTTCTAATGACCTAACACAGCCTACTATTTGTTGTAACATTTTCATAACTTTATCTTTTGTTGATGGGATCCTTGTTGAAAGGACCTTTTCCTTATTATTATTATTTATATTGTTTTCCTCATCATCAGATCTTATCATGTCTTCATTATATTTACTATTGTTATTGTCATCATCTCTATCCTGTTGTCATATATGAGATTTTAGAGCTGTTAATCGTTCTGCAATATCTTGTAGCAGGTTTTTAATCCTATCAAATCCTATCAAATCTTTGTGAGTCTAATGGTGTTGAAGCTATTTTTGTATTACTTGTTTTATTCTTTGCTACTTCAACATATGTTTTTTCTCTTACTTGTTTACTAATTATTTTGAAATAATGTGAGTTATGTTTTTATACATTGCTCCAAATTTTTCTATTTTTTCAGTAGCCTTAGTTTGGAATTCTCAATCTTTAATCGTCCTTGGATAGGTAATTGCAAGATAATCTGTGGCTTGGTATCTATAGTAGGTTTTAGTTTTGATATCAACAATCTATAGTTAGCTGTTTCCCATTTAAATTCTATGACATTATCATATTCTTCCTTAAGAGTAAAAGAAATGATTGCTTCATTTTTTTTTCTATTATTCCTGGTATGAGGGAAGTAATAAGTTTTTGCTCCTAGTTTTACTACTTGAAGAAATAATTCTCTGGCTGTCATATTATAGGAGGGACCAATGACTCTTGCTACAAATTCTCCATATGATTTAAAATTATCTGCTATTTGATCTAGTTATGTTAATCTAATTGAGTTTTCGTCAATAATAATATTACAATTTTTTAAAATGCTTTTGGCTACTTCTTCTTCTTTAAAGATGATCACAGCAGATTGCCATATATTATTAGTTCTGAGATTCATTTTTTCAATTTTTCCAAAGTTGATTTCTAATTATGTTGCCAATTCTTTGTATTGCATATGTATAGGAATGTCCCATAACTTAACCCTATATATGAAGTCTTTCTCAGGATTCCTTTTAAAGATTTGTGCCCTATACATGTAAGTAGGCTGTTCTACATCATTACTCACATTGATTTTGTTATCTTTTTTCATTTCTTCTTTGTTGTTATAATATGCAGAGATCATTCTATTGTTTTCAAAATTTTCTGTTTTGATTAGGACAACTTTGATTTCTTTTTCTAATTTTATCAAGTTTTTCAATAATATTTTTACCAAAAATTTTATGTGCAGAGGTCCAAATTTTATATTTGGGTATGTTAAGTGTCTTTCTCCAAGCTAACTGGTAGTCATCTTTTGAGTTATAAGATGTAATAGACTTGTTATCCTCTTCTTCATTTGGTTTTTTAATGATATCAGGTTTCTTAGCATATTTGCCTTTATGTTTTTTCACTTCTTTCCATTCATTTTTCTTGTTCTTCTTCAAGTCTTTAACTGTATTCTGGTTATCTTGAATTTCAAAGCTTCTGATATCCATTTCTGCTTCCATGTCTATTTGTTATTCATACACTTCTAGTTCATATATTGACATTTCTCTATTCAAGATAATAACTTGGAAGGTTGGCTTACTTCCTGATGCTACGATGTACCTGTTTCTACAGTTTTTCTGTCAATTTGTTAGCCATTTTCTTTCTTGACAAGTTGTCTTTATTACCAAGAGGATTAAATTTTTCAGCTTCTGTATTTACACTTTTGAAAGTGATGTCATAATCTACATCTGTTCTCCTTGACCTTGTAAATGAGCTGCCGCTCATGTTTAAACATGAGTTTTGAATAAAATAAAAAATAAAACAATTTCAATAAAATATTACTACGTATTTTATAATAATAAGTAATTTGGAAAAGAGTTTTTTTTTTTAAGAACCGTAAATTATCAATATATAATTAATAATTTACATTGTAATTACTAACAATATTGAAACATGTATATGATAAATCTATATACAATCCATAAAAAATGTTTAGTTAAATCTTTTCAGAAAGATTTGTTTCTATATATTTTTATGTTAATCATATAATAATAGTATGTATTTATAGTGTTAGTAAATTATCCCTTAATCTGTAAAGCAGGTAAATTTGCCTGCTAATATAATTATATTTATAAATTTTTTTAATAAAATTTTAAATTTTGATTTTAAAAATATAGTTT